CCTTCGTTACTAACTACTTTTAACAGACGCAAGTTTTAAAAGATTTTGAGTAAATTTTCCAAAAATTATCAATTGGAGTCATGCACAATTATTTTCTTGACTACATAATTTATCACCTGTTGGTTTAGCGGTCGGCGTCACGTAGTTGAAGCTTTTGATGGTTCCGGTGCTCCCGGTGTAGTACTGCAGACAACCACTCGGAGCTGACCAAATATAAAATAATTTAGCTGGTATTTGAATAAGTTAGATGGTATTTCCTCTCATATAAGTTTTTATGAACATGTTTTCCTGTTTTCTTCTTCTTTTTTCTTGATGCACAGAACATTAATATCAGTGATAAAATAACAGTAGCAATACAAATACAATTCATTTTACTTCAATTGCTATGATGAACTAATTCTTTCATTTCAGATCACCCTGAATAGAAGAAGAAGAAGTACAGTCGATCTGGGTTACAGAAATTTGCCATCTGGTGTTCGGCGTTGATGTTTTTACGTCCAGCAGAACATTAACAAAACCGGGCGTCACGTCAAGATATACTGCAAAAAACACATGCAGCACATTAATGGGTAATGCAAGTTATGTATTTTGAGCATTTTGATATTCTTTATAGAATAAATATATGGTTCAAATTTTCAGTCTTCCGAACTCACGATGTTGTCCCGAATTCTCGCCACAGATTGTGGGGATTGTTGACGATGCGCCGGTGACAGTAAATGAATCCTGGGTACAAACTCCCTCGTTATCGGGGCCAGCTAAGGTGAAGGCTCCGAAATCCAGGCGGATCTGACAAACGTTTTTATTGGCAGGCTTCACATTAAGCGGGCAGCTTGAGTAAACTCCAGGCTCAGAGGCAGGGTAGCTTGGATTCTGGAAGACTGCAGCGCCGTTTTCAGCGTTTTGATAGCAACCTTGGTAAGTAACTGCAAAATGTACAATTCATTTTATTCGTTGCAATTCATAATGGTAGGTAAAGTTTACCTAAATATCAGTGTCTGATTTATAATCTGCGTTTTTAGAGTAATATGGGTAGGCAAAGTCTTTTTCGCATTAAAAAATTGTTCAAATTCTTTTTAATTATTCAGTAATTTCTCGCTTACACGTGCAACAAACTCCGACCCCAAGTGCACAGTCGCCGTCGCCGGTTCCTTTCAAGTCGTCGCAGTCGCGCTGCTTGTAGCAAATGCCGGCGGTCCCTGAGTTGGTCGTGCACGGATCTGGCAGGACAGTCACGATGTCCCGGGTCCCTTGGAAAAATTATGGTAATAATACGTGAAAACAATTTGATGAGGGGTTTAAAATCTACCACTCATAGCTGATATTTAAAACATTTTGAAAATATCATTTGAACAACAATAATATCATTTCAGAAATGTTAGATATTTCTATAAGTTTGCACATAGAGTATTACTCCTAGTCAATTTCTTGGCTTCCATGAAATAAAGCTTCATAATAGGTCAACAATTCCAATATGGTAAGTTCATCTCGATGTCTTGGCGCTCACTGTAAAGAGTAACAATCTATCAAAAAATATATGCGCTTCTATGGATATAAAGTTTAATTATTAATTCACATTTTGATTTCGTTTCCGCTTGCTTTTCCTGGAAACTTTCCATGGCCGGAAGAACGGCAGAGCTTGAGGTCAGAGCCAAGCTTGTCCACAGCACCGCGCAAGCTGCGAGCAGTTCAAGAGAGATCATCTTGCAGTTCTGTTGAAGAAGCCAATGTCAAGTTATTTGAATGAGCAGAATGAGGTCAGCCTTTTGAAGTTAATTTCAATAGAAATTATCAACTGACACAAATTTTAACACATATTTGCCTATATTTTTAAGGAGGTAATTTTGCTAAGTCTGTTATTTATTTCTTTCATTATGTTGTAGCTATTGATTTGCAATTCTAATGCTTCACTGTGTCCATTTTGCAGTAGTGAGCATGAACAAAAAAATTGCAGTTAAAACATCACCTAATTAACCCTGATTTTCCACCCCAACTAATTTTTTTGAGTTCCTGGAATATTATCGTTGAAATTTCATCGAACGATCCCAGCATAATTTTCCGTGCGTTTCCTATTTTAACTAAGCACTTTTTGTTTCACTAAATGTTGTGCACTTCGCTCAACTGCACACTGAGATGGGTTGTGGATGCGAATGTTTTTTAGTATAATTTATTGATATTTCTTTTGCATTACACGCTTCCACGAACAGAGGTATACGCATGCCTGAACTAATTTTATTATTTTTATTGTCATATTGTAGAGCAGAGCTGGAATAGCCTTAACACATTGACTCTGAAGTGGTACATATACGTATCACGAAATGTAATTCTCCAGGACGTAGTGGTACATAATTCGGGGTTATCAAATGGCCTAAAAACGGCCAAGTCCAAGGACAAAAAAGGCCAAAAAAGACATATAACTCAATATATACATGTAAATTTGTAGGTTCCGGTGAAAAATTCAATTTTTGTTGTTGTAGTTTTTAAAATTTAATTATGAAGTACCTCTATCATAACTCTTAGCCGGATAACGCAATTGAAAAAAAATTAAATTGCGGAATTTGTCCGGAAAAAAGACCGTCTGGCAACCCCGCTTCAAAATATTACAAAAAAATGAAATAATAGTACAGGATGAAGCAATCGGAGCCATCGTGTTAACAAATTTTTACGTCTCGCTCCCAATGCTTGCACCACTTTGCTTAAAGTCTGAATAATGTAAACTATTCTACCCTTAAATATACAATAGAAAGCCAGC